AAGGAAGAGAGAGAGAGAGAGAGAGAGAGGCAGATAGAGAAAGGGAAAAAGAATAATCCGTCTACATCTCTCTCTCGCTCTCTCTCTCTCTCTCTCTCTCTCTTTCTCTCTAAGCGAAAACTAATCGAGGCCAGTGCACACTACCGGGAAAAGAACGAAACGAAGGGGGATGGGGGGATGTTCTCGACTACTCGGCCGGTCGACGAGCCTCGAGTATTATTTCTGGTATTCGTGTATACCACTGTTATCCAACGAGACGAGGGCCGCGGAGGTGGCACGCGGAAAGTGAAGCGGAAAGGGCACCGCACCGGAGTCATCAGAGTCGTGCACGATAACACCACCGTCCCTCGTTACGTCGAGAGAGAGAAAAGAAAAAAAAAAAAAAANAAAAAAAAAAAAAAAAAGAAAAAGAGAAGAAAAACCCGACGCACCGGTGGAGTCGAGTTTTACCTACGCCCATGTACTTCACGCGCCAGTGACTCCTGTTTACAGACCCGAGGGCGGGGGTGGGAAGAAGAAGAAGAAGAAGGAAAAACGCGAGCGAAGAGGAACAAGGAGGATCGCTGCGGGAAAGGGGAGAGATGGTGTAAACGAGGAAGAGGATGCAAAAAGGGGGAAGTATCCAACGCATCCTCGCTCCCCCTCGCCCACCGGAGCCAGCGTCCCCTCGCCCCAATTACCGTGCCCATCGCTCGCACCACCTCGTCCACGCTCGTAATTTGCATCCGACCTCTATTTCCTTCGTAGTCGTCGAACTAAATGTCGCTTGTGAAATCGTCGAGGGAAACTAAACAATCTTATCGATGGATATCTACGTGTAATAGTCCTATTATGATGATCACGAATGATGATGAAATTATTTTATTTAGAATTTAATTTAAATAGAATACAAGGAATAATCGTGAATAGAAGCGATAAGTTAGCTATCGAGGCGATATGATAAGAAATATATATATATATATATATATACGTTGGGAAAAAAATGTGTGTCCTCGAAGAAAATCGTTGATACTCACGAGGCACACGATCAAGGATCAGGCTCTCGGTTAGGAGACGTCGACTCCTAGAGCGATGACCGACGAGCATCCTACACACCGATTCCTCCTGTTTCACGAGTCCTGGCGTCGAGGACCCGGATGATCCTCCCGTTGTCACTCCGGCAACACCCACTTTCTCCTCTGGCCTCGTAACCTCGAGGGCCACTTTTCCTTCTCTCCCTCGCCACCGTCGTCGAACGAGGCGCAGCACTACTCTGACAGCACCACCACTACCACCACCACGATACGATTCTCGACTACCAACGGGCACCACCACGATAGGAAACCACCACTACCGCTACGACCACCACTACCACTGCCACTCGCCACCACGAGTAGCAGGCACAGCAGCTCGTCGTCGTGTCGTGTCTCGATACTGACAACCAGTTTGCGAACGGAGTTACGCGGGATTTTCTTTATCTGTAAAAGCTGTCGTGCGATTAAATCCCGTAAGAATTCATTGCACCATCCTATTCGAACGAGTTACGATCGAGTGGCGTTGTCAATTGTTGGCTCTGACGGTCACTAGCCGCGTTGACACATCGCGTGACCATCGACGAGGAACTCTCTGAACGCGAGCAACACGCGGCGACCTACGAGCATGGGATGATTCCGTAGCTCGCTGCGGAAACTCCACCGTGAGCTGGCCTATCTACGCGCCTGTCTGCTCTCCTAAGCCTCGAATGCCGCCCCCTTTCGTCCCGCCACGGCGCCTTCTGGCCAGTCACGACATAAATGTATGTATGCGCGATCGTGACACACGCGGGTCCGTGACACATCCCGGCATGCGCTCTTCTACGCGCGCCTCGTATCGCTTGCCTCGTATCTGAATTTATTTGACTATAGTCGATGTCGCTGCTTTCGATGCATCGACTAGGGAATTTATCTTTTCGAGAAAGAGAAGATAAATAGGTAAAAATCAGCAAAAATACGTTTAATTATTGATGTCAGAAATTTTTCCTATTTGGTAGGAAAGTTTTGTTAAATGTATTAGAAGAAGGTAATTTTTTTTTAATTAATAGAATATTATTATCGATTAGTTATTAACATATTTTAGAGTATGTTATAATTTTCGTTTGGTATTCTTTTTTTGTTAAAATTATTGATATACTATTTACCATTACTTTTTTCTTCGTGCTAATAAAATATATTATCAGTATTTTTATTTAAAATTTGGCGCCAAAAATTCTATGCAAGTTACGAATTAGATATAATCTAGGGACTTTTTCATATTGTAAAAAAACTAACCTGTCATCATCGCGTAAACTCTGTCTATTTCATTTTTTATTTATGAGATTATACTCTGTGAAGTTTATAATGATCAGGAAAAAATTTTCATCTTGTGTTCATAATTCATCTATGAAAATTATAAGTGAATTTTGTGTGAATAAAACATTATTATTTTACAATTTCAGTCGCAGCTATAATTAAACTGTTAGTAATACAGTTGGATGTTGTGATTATTTTTCAATTAATATTCGATATTATGAGATGACATATAATGTGTCCTTGTATTCGAGGTTAGAATATATTATAAATCTATAGAAGATCACTGCTAGTTAAATATAATCGGTGATCGTAGAAGAATATTATTAAAGAGTGTCATGGCGTGACACAATGACAGAACGTGCATTTTTGACCGACGAATTCGGTACTAAATTTAATATGTGGGGCGGATTTCGTTATAACAGGGGCTTCCTAATATTGTTCCTGATTCATGTTATTGCATTTCAATGTTTTATATGTAAGTATTTGTTTGATATCACAAAATGTTCATCACAGTTTTTCTAACAAATCTGGTTTCCATGCATGTAAAAATGCGTGACATATATCATATGCCGCTTGTCACAATTTTTTTTTATGCTCCTTATAATATTCAAATAAATTTTTTAATAGTAATAGTTATCTCATAATTTGTTTTTTGTATTATGAATTTCTTTTTCCTTTTTCCAAATAAGCTTTATTATTCAATTAACTTGGATATATTTGAAATTATTCTCTTGCAATTTTATTAAAATTATATAAATTATTTATCCATTTATTATAATTTAGATCGTTATAATTTTTATATTTCTGTTTCAAAGATTATCAAGAGCGTTATAAATGGCAAGAATTAAGAAACACGCTGGAGTCAATAATTGTTGAGCAACGAGATATATATGGATTAACATATAGTGTAATTAAGAGGTTAGAGGGACATAATATGCTCAATGGAGAAAAACAGGATCTTACAAATTACAAAAACAACCTATTATTTATGCCATTACTCCTACATTTACCAGACCTGTACAAAAAGCTGAACTAACACGATTGTCACAGACGTTTTTGCATATACCAAATTTTCATTGGATCGTTGTCGAAGATGCGGAAAGAAAGACCAATCTCGTTACACGATTCTTAGAGAATAGTGGTTTAATTTATACGCATTTATCTGCAGTAACTCCACCTAATTATAAATTAGGTCGAAACGATCCGAATTGGAAAAAACCGCGTGGAGTCGAGCAACGAAATGCGGCATTACGATGGCTTCGAGAAAATCTTAAACCGACTGATAAAGGAATAGTTATTTTGCAGATGATGACAATACGTATTCGATTAAATTATTTCACGAGGTAAGAACATTAATGATATACATTGAGCGATTATTTTAATCACGAAATCATTATATAATCTAGATATGTTCCAGATGGAAAAAATAATAAGGTCGGTGTTTGGCCAGTGGGTTTAGTTGGTGGTTTAATGGTTGAGAAACCGATATGTGATAATATGACTAATACAATAATTGGTTTTAATGCTGCCTGGAAGCCAGATCGTCCATTCCCATTGGATATGGCAGGTTTTGCAATCAATTTACAGCTTTTATTAGAAAATAAAAATGCTGTTTTTTCGTATGACGTTCAAGGGGGATATCAGGAAAGTGAAATTTTGTCTCAAATCATCACTAGAAAGGAATTGGAACCATTAGCAGATTGTTGTACAAAGGTACTTTTAAGTTATTTTTAAATTTTTTATTTCTTACTGTATAAATTAAATAATTCTGTTTTTGTCTGTAGGTGTATGTATGGCATACACGAACAGAACCGCCGCAATTAAATGTGGAACAAATGTTAATAAAAAAAGGTAAACATTCGAACATAGGGATTGAAGTGTGATAAAAATATCAGATTGTAGTATATATTAAAAGAGCCTATGCAAGATTAGATAATATATTGCAAAATATTGCAAAAGTAAATATTATTACGTTCGCTATGTTATAAAAAAAAAATAATTTTATATGCATTTTTCATTAACGTTCGGCCACATATTTTCAAAGTAAGAAAAAATGCAGTGCCATGACAGGTAGAGTAGCTTACAATTACATATTCGATAAGGATATTATAGATACCAATGAATTTTAGATAGAATATGTTTATTAATGCATGATAACATGGTGGCCTGAATGACATATTTTTAAGCTTTATTTTAATCTTATAAATTGATCGCTTTTTATACTTTTAACGCGCCTATTAATACGAGTTCCTTTTATTTTATACCGCAAAATACGGTATAATTTTTAAAAATATAATGCTCTTAAGAAGAAATAATGCTCGAATGAATAAAATTTTTAACGTAAAAAAAAAAAAAAAAGAAAAAAAGAAAAAAAGAAAAAAAATGGAATAATATCCAGATGTGAATCATTTGACCTTAAAAATGTTCTTTATCCTTTATTAGTCGAGTACGTTTCCTTGACGCGTACAGAAAAAGCATACATAAAAAATATGCCTTACACCTACGAACTTTAATGATATTTGTAATATTTTTTAAATTGGAAGATGCGCAATAATACTTTTCAAGGGAAGCTACTTGGATTACGGATTTTGGCAACGAATATAAAGTAGCTAGATAAACGTGTTTTTTCCTTCTTGTCAAATTGCCAATTTTTGACTCGATGAGGAATCAAATACTATGTAACGATTACAATGAACAATCCTTCATTTTTTTCTTTTTTTTCGAATATATATATATATATATTTCTCGTATATAATGTGTACTCGTTGACTTATAAGCTAATAAGTACTATATATTTGGCAAAACTCTGTATTATGGTACGTAAAAAAGCTACCTATGCAGAAAGTGTGTTCGCAAGTAGGAGTGGTGATTTTTTAATTTTTACTTTTTTTTTTTTTTTTTTTTTTTTATTAGATAAAGGTATAACTTTCTTAAATAAATATACACACGATTAATTATTTTTTGAAATTCATATTTACTAGTCTTTTTTGTTTCTCTTTTGTTTTGCGAACGCACCTTCCAATCTCGCATACAACATTCTAATCTTACCGAACTCTTCTAAACTTATTTCCAATATTTCTTAAAGATTAGGAAAAACGTTTACAAGCATTTACAAAAACTTATCACATTTTAACTGCATTTTCTTGAAAAGCCATCTTACACATTAGGACAAGAATGGTATTATTGTGTTATCGAATAGAATAATATATATATATATATATGGCAGCTTTCGATTGTATTTTTTTTTTTTTTTTTTTTAATAACTTGCTTTTAACAAAAAAATTCGGATCTTTGTTACAATTAGCAAGTATTATGATTTAGTATTCAAAGCGAGAAAAGTTCAATTTATATTTAATTTATCAAAGATATCGCTGCTTTGATTACACTATACATACATATTAGAGAGACTTAAATTGTCGAAAGATACATTTGAGGATTTATTAAAACGATATCGCGATCGATATATCGAATGCAATATTCTTTTGAAATCTTCCTTTAATTTTCGTATTTTACAGTTTTTTAAGTATACTGTTCTCTAATTGCATCGATAATACGATCGTGATAATGCACAATTTTATCGATTAGAATTCGATCACAACAGCTGCCTAGTTCTCGGTCTAGATTACTTTCTTACATAAAAGGTAACTACATAGGATACATAAAATATTAATAATGAAGATGTAAAAATAGTAAAGAGATACTAGGGCTGCTCTTGCATACGACGCCTCAATGATGTAATCTTTACATTATAAAATGTACATGGTAAAAACTATCACGATAAATTAAATCAAGGATATAAAAAGAAATATCCACACAAAAAGTATTACCTTGAAATAAAAGATAGAAATATTAATTAACCGTGAATAAACGCATGATAGATAATCAATACGTCAATCATGTTGATTGATACGGCAAGACAATAGTATAATCATATCCAAAAACTGAGCGATACATATTTTTGTAAAAACATTGTTACAGCTAGAGGAAACACATACTAATGATAAATCTTGTCAAAACATATAAACGACGAATTAAAGCGAAAATTATGTATTATTACTGAGTTATTTAATTCTCATTGATAACCGGTACAATTTATTTTCATGAAGTTTCGCGCTTAAACGAATCAGTCTTTGAAATTAAGTTTATATATAATCACGAAATTGATAATTCGTCGTTTAAAGATAAAAAAAAAATGAAATACTTTGCGGACTATATAATACGACTTCTAATTAAAAAAAACATACATGAATGGAACATGTTGAAGGAATATGATAACTTTATATATGTACACAGATCGAAGATACACCATATAAAATGATGAATCTCATTTAAAGAGAGAGAAAGAGAGAGAGAGAAAACCTATTCCACTCGTTCCCACTTCGTTCGCCAACTTTTTAAAATCTCGGATTTTATTTTTATTAACTATGATGTTCTATCTATTAACGTAGAAGAAACGATATGGAATAAGTAAAATGTACCTTTTTAATTTTGTGCTGTGCACATGATAACACAGTACTACCCAGCGTACTAGACTGCAGTTATCTAGAGAGTGCCTCGAAGCAATGATCACTAATTATCGACCAACTTCTACCAATTTCGCGATTAATTTTGTACATTCTCTTTTTGTATAAGCGATCTATCTAGTTTCTCCTTGCAATATTTGCTACGTTACATTACATCGATAACTTTTTCTTTTTCCCCAAACGCAAAACGAATTATGTATTTTACTATAAATCGTAAACTACTAATTTGTCTCTCTGTTACAATTTGATGATTACATCAGTGAGGGAAAGGAGGAAAAAGAAAAAGATTTGTTTTTCTTATAAATACAGAACTATCAGGACTTGTGAAAAATGTATGTGCAGATAATTTTGTATCAAGAAAAATTGATAAAGTGCAGACTTATGGATAAATGCTAAGATCGTTTTATCGTACCTTCAAAAAGAAGGGACAAGAATGTACGCGCGAATTATCGCGTCGCTCATTGGATATTCCGCGAATGAAGCAGTCGAATACGATTTTGTATTGTTCGATCGCGGTCAGATGGCGCACGGTGTCTCATTTATGAAATAGAACGAGATGTCGCTTTTAACGTCTCAGTACTTTACGTCCCTGCGCAAATCCCGAATAGAATAGTGAATCAAAATTCGAATTCGTCAAAGGAGTGCAAAATTCTGTTCCCTACGTGCACGTTTCGGGATGTGTTTTGTGTCATTCGAGAACACTTGGCCAGGAGTAATGTTTCCACGATGATTTACAATCTAGTACGCCGGAAGAATATCTAGACAGCTGAATCCTTTCCGACGAAACCGGTCTTTGAAACGGATCTTTTCCCGTCAAACGTGATAGATGTCTCCCGGCGCAGGCCCGAGTCGATGATCGGTGTGATTTTCTTCTCTTCCTTCAGTGGCTCCTTTTCGTCTCTAAAATGTTTCAATAGAAATTCACGGTTATTAATAGAAAACGATTTCTCGAGTGCTTTCTTACGGTTACTTCTAGTATTGGGCATAAAAGAAGAGCATGTCGAAATGCGACGCGTGGTGCAACATTGAATAATACGCATAATGCATGCCATTACTCGTTAGTATATTGTGTATTTGCAATAGGAATTGCTATATCTCTTTTCGTCTTGGGCTTCGTATTTTCGTCTTCGTATTTTACGTAATGCGATGTGAACGAATAATTGAACTTGGGCTATGAATAAATGTTGCAGAACGAAAGAAATTTGTTCGGTGAAAAAAAATTCACGAAAAGGTAAGTGTGTATAAATAAAATGTTCAATTCAATTATAATATTTGTAGATCATAGAGTTTATGTTAGATTATATTTTTATGAGTAAAAAATATTCCGATATTCTGATGGTAACCTTTTTAATAGGGCAACGGAATTGAATTACCTATTTTCATTGAATTACCTATTCGTTTGAATGGAATAGGATTAGAGCGAATGGTGGTGAGTGTGCTATGTAGTTAACGAGCAATTAATATCACTTCAGAGTGTTGATCTCTCATGCAACATAGCCAAAGCATGGGCGAATAATGACGATAATTTATGCAACACGTGTAGAGGATGACAGAAAAGATAAAGAGAGGTAGATAGAGAGGTAGAGAGACAGAGAAATGGAATGCGCGCGCAAGAAAAAAGAGAAAAGAGTAAAAAAAAAGTAAGCATTAAATGAATTGAACATGGTTAGTTAATAATGTACAGTGTTCTTTTGTACGAAAAGTGGTTGGCGGCAAATCAAATTATATTAAAATAAAAAAAAAAGAAACGCGAAAAAAAAAACAAACTTTGTTTCATGCTGCAATTTTATCTTGTTGTTTCCACGGGCATTGTCAATTTTGTCTTCATAGATGCTATTCTCGAATACGTTCGATGTTCCAGGATTTTTATCAGCATCGAGGAATCGAAAAAAATAAAAAATAAATAAAAATGGAAGGAATAACGTCTGTAGACGTTAACGTTAGGCAAATGAAAAAAAAAAAAAGAAAAAAATAATCATGCGAAGTAGAAAGCCGTGTCAGAGCCCCTTCGTGAGGGGCCATGCTTCTTACTGATTTTCATTTATGTATCTCTCTTACATGGCAGTGTGTTTGACCAATTTAATGGTATTTTTTCCACTACTCGAGTCTTGGATGGCCGTGACCCCGGCGACATTGGCCATTTTTTGGTCGCAATACGGCAATGGAAACCGCCAACCGTAAAGACTACCGGTAAGAAAAAAAAAGAGACAGATGCGAGAGGGTCAAAGTGTCTCCTAATGGCGAGCTAGATTCTAACCGGATCATTTAACCATAGAATATTTTCAGCGGGGCTATATAATATATATAACTCCGAAGGTTTAATAAAAAGAACGAAAAAAAATTCCCGGTTTCGATTTGTCGAATATAAGTTCGAACTATAACTATGAAGTATCATATTCTTTCGTTTAGCTTTTTGTTTGGCATTCCTTTTATATTATTGAAAACAAAAATACTACGGTCAAAATTTTGACCGTAATACAAATTTATGGATTTCAATATCATGATTATTACTCAAAATGAAATTAATTTTTAGAAAAATTAATATTGATATGATATTTTGAATTACATGTATACTCTTTTAGAGTTATGTAGGAGATAAAAATATTTTAAATATTATTTTGTAAATATTTTTGATATAATATAGATTGTTGTTTAGATTTTAATAAATTTATCCGAAAATGGTTTACAAAATTTAAGTAAATTTAAGAGTTTAACTATAAAGTTTTTTAAATTTTTAAAAAATTGCATAATCTTTTGTTTAAACTCCTTAAAAAATTAAAAAATTCGTTTTAAATACTTTGATAACTCTACAAGAAATCAACGAATATTCAAATAAGCATATTCACGTTATTCTTCCAACTCGTCCACGTCCCGTAAACTAGTTTGTACGTTAGTCACGGCTCTCTCAGGAATCTCGATTCGAATCGCGAAAATTCGTTCGACAGGCAGGAGATAAAAGAAAAAAGATCCACGGGGTTCTTGTACGAAGTTCGATAGTGGGCGGAAAGTTCGATGACACGGTAAATATAGCGCCAAAGACTTGCCAAAGCACAATGTAAAATATATGTATAATGTATGTGTATAATGTATATAAGGATGTCGAGTAAATCAATCTAAATATCGTGAGTGTTCTCGTGTGTTACGTATCGAAAGAATTTGATTGGAATGATTCTCACCTGCCAAGTTTCGCGTCCTCTTCGTCCACTGGTTTCCGGCGGGAACGTTCGCAGACGTAGTAAATGATTCCTGTAATAAAAATATCATGGAATTATTATAAAAAAAAAGAAAAATAGTAATTAGGTCGGTCGTAAAAAAATATTTCTCCATGAAATATTTTCCAGTTTTCTTTTTTTTTTCTTCGCTCGATAAAATTTACTTCTCAAACCGGGGCTAACTTTACGTGACGATTCAGCGTAATCTAGCATTGCAATTTTAGTGCGGAATCACAGTTGCACTTTCAGATAAATCTGCGTTGCAATTTGGGAACAAGTTTACACCACGAGTAATTCCAGATAAATTCACGCTGCTATATCAAGCAAATTAACGTTGTAATTTCATATAAATCCAGTTTGCAATTTTAGATACATTCAGAGGGGGCACAAGAGTTAATAAATTCATGCTGCGCGTGCAATGTAATACCGTGACGTGATTTTAGGTAGATTTATGTTAAAATCTTGAATAAATTTGTCGTCGCGTAAATTAATTACTTACTTGCGATACAATTGTTGATAAATTTATATTATACTTTTGTTTATATTGGAATTCTATTTATTGTATTATAAAATTTTGTGTTAACGTTTCGAATCGCACAGTGAAATATCTCGAGTAAATTTGTCACGAAAGTATAGGGTATACTTGTGGTGAAAATTCGCATCTTCGTTTGAAATTATATTTATTAAATTGTTACGTTTTGCTTCACAGTTCCAAATCACAGTTTACATCGAATCGGTTTACATTTTTATTAATATTATTCGGCAAAATTAAATATTATCGTTTCGTATCGGTTTAAATTTGTAATTTTAATTGCATTTGTTTGTCGTAACTTACGCGATTTTCATATTTTAATATAAAATTGTAAATTTCAATTTATATTATAATTTTATGCAAGTTGATATATATTTTATCAAAAAAGATAGATTCAAATTTTATTGAAAGTATTGCTCGATAAATTAACGAATTCATTATATTTATTTGAAAATGTATTCTCACCTGTTTTGTGCGCGCAACAGCAAATCACGTCGATCACGATAATAATAATGAATAGTACCGCGATCACAATACCGATTATGGCTGCACTCGATATCAGAGGACCTTGATGATGAACCACAGTAGTGTCTATACCTTGAAGGATAAGAATTATATATCAGATGAATATTACGTTAAAAACACATACTGTTCGTTTGCAATCCGTTAGTGCAGAAGCATTACTTAACGATGTTTGGTGATGAATATGGAAAGGAAATTATTTCCCGTCAAAAAATTTCAAAAGTTTGTTGTCATGTGAAAATAATCAAGAAAATAAACTATAATATTTCTTTTCAAAATTACATAGTATATTATATAGTATCTTAATTTGTTTAAATTCTTAGATAATTCATTTTTAAATATATAACAATAAGAGTTTAAAAAACAAAGCAATTTCTTAAATAATTTCTTAAATAATGAAAAATTGAACCTTTATTATTTAAGAATTGAATTGGATAAATATAGTATTCGAAGATAAATTGATTCGTATCCGAACTAAACTTCACAACTCTGAGAAATCCTACATGACAAGAAACCTTCTAAACTTCGCTTCCATCTCGATATCCTCTTCGCTTACAAGCAAGCAATAAAAGTCAATATACAGTCTATAAGATAGACAATTCAATCTTGACCTGATACAACGTCGAAACCGTGCACATCACCAAACATGTTACGCGAACGATTAATTTTAGTCTCCTGAAAAGAACAAGATCGGCGGGGGGGTTCTGGGGAAGTGCCAAAAATCCGTTTTCATCAAAGCGTAGAAGACACGTAAGGAACCAAGAGAACTAAACAAACATACACCAAACCAAACCAAAGCGAATCAACGTACATACGTTATGTATATATATATATATATGTGTATAATACCAATGAAAGAATGATCGATCGACGAAGAAGCGATAATAATAAGCGTGATTAAAAACAAATAAAAAAACAAACAAGAAGAAGAAAAAAAAGAAAATAAACGAAATCAGAAGAAAAGAAAAGAAAAGAAAAATAAGATAGCTGGTGCTTGCAAAGATACATTTGTGATACAAAGCTAAACGTAAGAGCGACAAAAAGGGTGCTTTGGATTCCCTTCTATTCGGACGCAGAGATATGGGTGCTGAGAAAGCTCAAGGAAGGGGGAAGAAAGCTTCATTCGCTACCTTTCTCTCCCGATGTTAGTTTCTACACGTCTCACTAGTCTAAATGTGCTACCTCCACACACATAAAGCCATATATATATATGTTTATTTTTTTTTTTTTTTTTTTTTTTTTTAATTTTCATTGAGTGCCTTTTACACGCGCGCGCGCTCTCTCTCTCTCACGCTCGCTTTTTTGGCTTCAAAAAGTCAACAGAGAGGGACTACTACGATATATATGTATACTTAGCAAATGTATGATACACATTACGCCCATCGTTCAACTCTTCTGACTTCATCATATATTTACCGTTTTCTTTCTCGGCGCATCCCCTCGTGTATTTTCTTTTTCTTTCTTTTTTTCTTTCCTTTTTTTTTAGTTTCTTTTGGTTTTCTTTCTTGCCCTTTTTCTTGTCCTTTCTCTTTCTTTCTCTTTTTCTTTTTCGTTGAAAACAGGTGAGCGGAAAATAAACGAGACGGCCGGGAGAGAAACCATCTCAAATTGCTCTGCCCGTTTCGCTCGAGTTCTCTTTGTTGGACCTTAACCCCTTAATGCTTATGTGTTGTCGCGGTCTGATCACCGAAGTGAATGATTCAATTTATCGTGTATCGTGTCTTAGGCTATTCCGTTTGATGCTGTTAATATTTTCTGATGGACACTGATGAATGAATTGGCTGTTCGATACACGGATGCTTCCGGTCGATCGATCGGTTTTCTTCGAACAGGCTCACTGTCTTCTTCTTCTTCTTTTTCTTCTTCTTCTTCTTTGCCTCTTTTGTTTCTCTGCGTATACTTTCTCCTACGTATGGAAACTTTCTTGATGAGTTTCCTTTTACTTTTTATTTTTATTTTGCATGATTTTAAAAATTTTATTTATTGAGAATCGCGAAGAAGTCAATAATTTGATTATACTGTGGTAATAATTTTTGCAAGAAAAAATTACATGAATGTCTGGAAAATGTATTTAATTTTATCGATAGAATTATGATTATTAAATAAAATGTATTTTTTTGTATGCGTACGTAACAAATTGAGTACATAAATTTTTGTTGTAGAATTAAAAGAATTTTTTTTAATTCTTTGTTAATAGATAATAATTTTACAAAATTAATGGTATAAATTATCAATAAGAAATTGTACTCCTTATTTTTGATATTTCTATTATTATTCTTAATTAAATGATTAGATAATTTTACTATTTATTAATAAATAGTACGTTGTAGATGCAATCTTTAAATTCTAATTAATTATTAAAATTGTATCCAACTAGGGTTCGCAAATTAATGTCTTGTATATCAAGATATACACGTATATATACCATTTACATGTTATATCTCATTAGAGGAGCACGTTTCCGGTTTTCATTAGGGATTTAATAAGTTTAGTGATCAGACAGCTTTATTTCCTTCGAGTGCATTGTTTCGCTACGAATATTCTCGTTATCATTTTCCTTCCTTCCACATTCCAACCAACAATCTCCATTTGTAATCCTCTTTAAGTAAAAGATATAAAACAAATTTATAAGCAATTATTCTCGAGTCCAAATTCCCATACACAATTTGTTGCACTCGTAATGACGACTTCTGTTTTCAATCTTCTTTAAGACAAGATATCGTCTTAAAGAATCGTCTTCGACACACCGTCCATTATCGTATTTTAGAATTTAATTTCACAAAATAAAAATCGATTGTTTTTAACCCGAAAAACCCTCGAACAATCATTGCATTAAGAGGTTAAGTTTCCCTCGGAATAATAATAATAATATTCTCGACTTCTCATTTATATCCTTGTTTTAATTCTTATTCTATCTTTCTTTTTAATTTCAGGAGCTTTTAAACTCCACTTTATCTCCCATTACGGTCCATTACGAGAATCTCCACATAAAATCTCATAGGAGCGGGAACAATTTGATGGTGGCTTCTCTTCTGGCAGATTCATTATTGGTATTGTATTCCTTAAACATTCACATATATATTTCCATACTCATATTTACAATAAGTGTATGTGTGTGTGTGTTGTTTTTTTTTCCAAAGGGGAAAAAACGATAACACGTTCAACCCCCTCGTTATAATACGAATGTATATATATATATTATATAGTATATTAGGCACTATGCTAGCACACATAATTCTTGCACGTGTGTGTTTGTGTGTGAGAATGTTAACTCTCTCTCTCTCTCTCTCTCTCTTTCTCTCTTTCGCTCGCTCTCTCACTCTCTCTCTCTCTCTCTCTCTCTCTCTCTCTCTCTCTCTCTCTCTCTCTCTCTCTCTCTCTCTCTCTCTCT